AAAAAGAAAGAAAGAGAGAGAGAGAAAAAAAAGAAAGAAAGAAAAAGAAAGAAAGAAAAAAGAAAAAGAAAGAAAAACAGAAAGAAAAAGAAAAAGAAAGAAGGAAAGAAAGAAAGGAAGGAAGGAGGGAGGGAGGGAGGAAAGGGAGGGGAGGGAGGGAGGGAAGGAAGGAAAGGGAGGGAGGGAGGGAGAGAGGGAGGAAGGAAGGAAGGAAGGAAAGGAAGGAGATGTGCAATTAATTCCCAGGTACCCTTGACCCAGCTTCAGGAGTTATCAGTGTATGCCAGTCTTGATTATCTATAGCCCTATTGCCTCTCACCCCTTCACCTCAACACTACCACTGCATTATTTTAAAGCAAATCCAAAACATTGTATAATTTTATCTGTAAATCACTCAATATTTATCCCTGAGAGATGAGGGCACTTTTTAAAAAATAGCCATTATATAATACTATGTAACTCTTAAACCATACCAAAATATTCAGTCACTGTTCAAACTTCCCTGATTGTCTGATCAAAGTTTTTCTTAATTTGATTTGAGTCAGGATGCAAATAAGACCCACAAACATTGTATTTGGCTCATATGTCTCTTAAGCCTTTTAAAATCTATGATAGTACCCCACCGTTTTTCCCTCCTACCATTTATTTATTGAAAAGAGCTAGGCTACTTATCCTGCAGAGTCTCTTCACGCTGGATTTTGCTGGTTATTCCCAATGCTGTGTTGAACGTATCTCAGTTCTACCACCTGTAAAATGGGGATAATACCAGAGCCATGAAGTCCACAGCATTATTGTTAGGATCATCTACTAACATGTATGTAGATCAGGTTGTTCTAGTAAACAAAGAAATTGTTCTTTATAGTGCTTTAAAAAGAAAACTTCATATGCCAATGCTTGCATACATGTTTGTTAAGATGCAGCCAAGTGAAATGTGTGAGCTCCTTGAGTCCAGCCTTCTTTATTGGTGTATAACAATGCCCAAGGGCTGGATGAACTACATAATCAAAATCAAACGCCAGCTTTTTACAGGCTTGGCCAAAATAGTACAACCTCAAACACCATTTTAAACTGCAAGAAATCTGAGCCGTTCATAGTCTTGCTTTTTATTGTTGACATTCACATTTCAATTTTTATGATCATTTCAAATTCACATTTTAAAAACCCAAAAAAACAGAAAAGCTCTTATCTAATTTAGCAGAAAGCAGGGCCATCAGTGTGAAGACAATACACTATCAACATACAGCTGCTTTTTATCCATAATTATCTATGTAAGAAACATGCTGCCATTTACAGGGGCTCTATTAACACATGCACATAAATCATGCTGAGGCCTAACAGGTAATGTGGGTTTTCATCCATCCAGCATCTTCTCTTTATTCTGGGTCCTTATCCTCATCTGAAAAATGGGGGACAGACTTCTTTGCAACAACATTATCCAGTCTCTGTCCTTGTAGATATGGATTGATACTCTGAAAAAAAACAAAAAACATGTGATTTGGTGTCATATGTGAACATCAGATATAGACATCTCAGAAAAGAAATGAACAAGAATTGTTTCTGGCCTATCGGGTTAACAACAATATACCACTGGTACCTACCAACTACCAATTATTCCAGTGTACTAATTAATATTTCAGTGGCCTATGGAACATTTTCTGACTGATAGATGTCTCTAATTGTGTTTTTCACACAACTATAGAGCTCTTTATCAGATGCAATGTGGTCTCTTAAAAAATTATTCTTGGGGTAAGCCAAATCTTTGTTAGTAGTCCTTGCCAGTAACATAGATACCAAGACCCATCAGAAAGATAAGTACTATTCTATGGCCCTCATTAGGTAGGAGAGGGAATCTAAAATGCATTAAATTATATTTTGCAATAAGAATGTTCTAAAGGAGAAGAGTAGGGCCAAGTGGGAATTAGCATCAGAAGATTGGTCGCAGATCATCCTGTTGCTGAGATTGATTCTTCCATGCCAATATTTTACTAAAGAGAATTCCTTAGAGGCTCGAGCAATCATTTCTACCTTCCTTCAGTCAAATTAAAAAACCAAAGAGAAAAAGGAAGCTTCCCGGAAGGCTCCTTTGTTTTTGACTCAAGACTCTGTACTCTGAAATGACTTTCATGTGCTGGTATTCTTAATGAGTAAAGATTTTTCCATTCCTTCTCTAATACATATCTATTTTTTGAGGTTTGGATTTGAACTAGTAACTGAAACTTTACAAAATAGTATTTAGCAAGCAGAAAAAAATTCAAAAGTTTTGGAAGATGTTTGTATATTGAAATTGCCTTCCAATAACGGAACAAAAATATAAGAAAGAAGCTGTAGTTACAAATGATCAGCAATCCCTGTTGCATGCTAGATTCCCATGTATGAATGGAGGTTGTTTACAGGTGGATTTCTCTTGTCTATGTCATGGCTTGCCATGACTCTTGAAGGGTGAGCAGACATTGTCCAAAAGAGAAGGAATGAAACTGGAGTTTAGCATTTACAAATGTTCTTTCACATTCTGACTGGTAAACGCATGAATCATGAAAGGTCCAACTCACTCTGCAAAGATGCATCCAAAGAAGGTGAGAATTTCAGACATCTGAAAAGTGACATGTCACAAGACAACACCTTGCTGGTAATTCATCTTAAAAATATTTAAAATGATAAAAGTTCCTTTTATCAATGACAGTGGTTTGGCCTACCCTAGGGAATCATATCAGAATCTTTGGGTAAGTGGAGCAAGTGTGTACTGAAAAAGTATATTCAGCATCAGAAACATTTTGTTTAGTAATATTTATTCCAAAAATTCGAATATGTTAAAGGAGGATACGAGATGTTCAAGTTGATCAAATATGGGATTAAAAGGTTCATAAGCTATTTAAATAAGATAAATAGTAGATCTAAAATATAACAAGATACAGCTTAAAAGTTTAAAAGTTAACAGTTATCTAAAGGTAGGTTGACCTTTTATTTGTGAAGCAATTAGGAATTCAACTGGATTTAGGTAAGTACATAAAGTTGAATAAAGCCACATGGGGTTTGGTCGCAACGCTGAGAAGAAACATTTCTCATGGGAGAAAGCCCTGCCCAGACCTAGAACATGCAAAGGTTGGAGGAGAGGGGAAAAATCAATGAGGAAGAAAAAAAAGGAATCAGGTGAACTTTTTTGATAAATATTTAACTGAGTATTAAATCCAGCACTTAGGAATAATAATGAGCCTTGATTTTTGTTTTTTGGTTTTTGAGACGGAGTCTCACTCCGTTGCCCAAGCTGGAGTCCAGCGGTGCAAACTCAGCTCACCACGACCTCCACCTCCTGGGTTCAAACGATTCTCCTCTCTCAGGAGCACACTACTATGCCTGGCTAATTTCTGTTTTTTCAGTAGAGATGGAATTTCATCATGTTGGCTGGGCTAGTCTAGAACTCCTGACCTCAGGTGATTCACCCGCCTTGGCTTCCCAAAGGGCTGGAATTACAGGCATGAGCCACCATGTGTAGCCGAGCCTTGGTTATAATTGTGCTCTGAAGAACTCAAGGCACTTCTATATTTATCTTCTCTCACTTGGGCAAGAGACTTGTAGGGTACACAGAGAACATTATTCCCATTTCACAACTGGAAGAACCACTGGGATTGGATCTTTGCTTTCAATGCCCTCTGGAAACTCACAGCAGATGCTGAGCTTCACTGGAGGAGGAGTTCACTGTCAAAAAAGAAAGCTTATAGTTTCTTTATATTGATTCATGCACTTGGGGTTGAGGGGCATGTTAAGGTCTTCAATCAAGATGGGAACAGTATCTGAGACCGATGTTGGGCAGGGGCCAAGTTGCTTCCTTATTAATCCATGGTTTATCAGGCCATGGTTTATGGCATGAGAATGGGTCTTTGTAGATGCCTAAGAGTAGGAAGAATTTGATATCTCTAGGTCAAAGTGACCCTTCTTTTCGTAAATTCTAAGCCTTTCCTATGTGGAGGAAATTGTGACTAAAATCCTTTATAACACGTGCCTTAGCCAGCATTCTGAGTTTTGGTAATCACTAGTCTCATGGAAAAATGACCTAAATCATGACCCATGGTCATTCACTGAGTTAGGGCAGAAGGAATGGTGGGCCAGGAAGTAGAGACAATTAAAGCTTCAGGTTAAGTTATTCATTCTGGGTCAGTCATTGATCTTATCTGGAAATGCTCTTGTTGCACTGTAGGGAGATATTCAAGCCATGTTACTGGTAAATTATGTGTATTTTGAGCTCCTAGAATAGAATTCTTGATGTTCTCTCAAGACCACATTGTCCCCTTTGGACCCTTTCTGTCACCGTCTGCTATTGGAAGCTGTCATCACCAAGAAAAAACCCTTAATAACTCCGTTAACTCTCCTCAAAAAAGATTTGTTTCCAGAGGTAAAAATGTTGTACTTCTTGCACAGAAAATAGCTGTAGGTCCTCGGTGTTTTGTCAGGCAGCACAGCGGCTTGAACCTTCTGTTGTGGGAGCCCGGGGACTGACGCTGAGGCCAGAAAATCCACACCTCTTGAAGCTATCTCTAAGTGAATTTGGCAAAACCCATCAGAATGGCCACAATTACCACTTCCCAGATTCCCACATTTTGTGAGGTTCCAGGCACTTGCTCTTCTGAATAAATAGTCAGTGGCTTTGAGTACATGGTTAGGTTTGTACATTTTAACTAAAATGGTCACTATCTCATAGCACTTTACCATGTAATAGCAGGGTGATTTCCCCCCCTTTCACCTGATCAGAAAAAAGAGGCAGGTGGCCAGGCCCTTTTGCCTAGCAAGGTACCAGTGGATTAGCAGAATGGACTTTGATCACTTATTAAATCTTGATGTTATAAAATACACTGGAAACCCAAAGCAAATGTGATATTGGGTTTTACATGAGGCAACATTGTCTATGAAGTAGCTAAATGTGGAGTACCTAGACCAAGTTCTTACCTTGGGCAGTCCTGGGATCGCTTAAAACTAAGCCTGTAGTAAATTTAACAGATAGCGAACACATATTATAGATATAGCAGATCTTACATCAGTCAGGCTAGGCCAAGAAAAAAGATATATAGGAGAAATAAGGTTTGCTCATCTCTTCTTTTACTCTCAAATTCCTTCAAAACTATTTCCTGGAGCATGCAGCTCAGCACTTCCCTGTTTCTGTCCTGTGTTTTTATAGAACTGATACAGATGTGTGATTAGTTTTCCCCAAGGGCCTACGGACCCTAGGAGGGCAGACAGACCCTCATGTCTCCCCAGATATCTACCACACTGATGGGGGAAGCAATACACCTTTCCTGAAGGAAATGGAGGTGATGGAATCACCACACACTGGGAGTTCCACTAAAAACCATCAGCTAAAGCTTGGGAGAGCCATTGCAGAAAGCAAGGGCAGACTTTCTGGGCGTGGCCCTCATCACAGAGACCAGTGTTTCTCAGGACTGCACAAGGGAGGATTCTGACTCCCCAGCAAGTGAGGGTTCCAGCCTGTTTGCTTCCCCACTCAGAAAACTCCAAGCATCCCAGCAACAGCCCAGCCAGCCGCGTGTTACCCTTCGCTTTCGTCTCTCTCCTCCCTTCATCTTCTCGTAAAGGAGTTTCTTGTTCTAGAATGGGGAGAAAAGAAAACAAATGCAGAAGTATGGATCAAATTTGGTGAATGTCTGTTTTAAAAGCAATACTTGGTGTGTCCCCCGGATATTTGCATACACATATTTTGGAAACAAAACTAGATGAAAGGAATGTCGTGTCAGAAAGATAGACCACAAGAGAAAAGCTGGTAGTGGTTCAGCTTTTAATAAAGTCCTCTGCAATGCCCTGAGGCACACCAATGTCATCAACAATCATGTAAACAGGGAAAAACGGCATTTTAAAACACAAGGGGCGCTGGAAACCCATCTCCTCACTTTGAACAGCCTTTGTTTAAAACAAATAATTTTATCTCATTTATTTTTGTCTCTAACTCCCTTTTTATAAACTGTACACATAAACTGCTCTCTAGAGTAGTGTCTGACTATTAACAACAATCCCCTGTATAAATAAACGAGACATTCTGACTTCTGCAACCATTTCGTCTGTGGTGTAAGTCAGTGCCCCCAGTCAAGACAATTGGAAAACCATTTGGTCTATAACATTTTTAATAGAGTGAACCTTTTAAAAACTGCCAAAAAACTTCTTGGCAGAAAGGAAAGTTATGCTGTGTCGGGGGGAGGGCTCTGTTACCACAGTTTGTATAAGTGTTTCCACATATTGCTGTATTTCAAACACATAGTGGGCTTAAATGAGCTCTAGAATATCAGACACATGCTCAACAGATTTCCCTTTTATTGAGATTATAAAAGACAGAACACTTAACCTGAAGGCAGAAAGGGAGAAGGGGATTTGGGGGAGCTTTACTTGTGTTGTTTTATTTATTTGATTTTTTTATCTGGAGGAAAATAATGTATAAAAGAGGTGATTCATTTTGTTCTAAATAAAATATCCTGACATTGATTTAAGAAAAAAATAAAAAAAGACAATGACAGAGTTCTGATAAGGAACAAGTTTATACAACATGCATCCTCTGAGCTGTCCACTTATCCAGATTTATTTTCAGTGGTAGATTTGGAATTGAAAATGACAAATGCCAAGAATGAGCTTCATCATTTTTCATGTTCATTAAAATCCACCCCACCTGCAATTTACAATGCTTATCTCTTGCCCAACCTCAACTATGCAGGGAGGCGGTACCAGGAGTGAAGAAGCTTCTACTGCCAAAAAACGCCAGTACTGGCTACAACCTCTATCTACTGCTCACTTCGGGGAATGAATCAATTTAATATCAGAAGGGAGAAAAGGCAGACTTGCAGATCGTTTCCTTGAGGAATGAGGATATTGCTGCGAGGCACATTCTCTTCAGTCTGTGGTTGCCTTTCTGTGGTTGTAAAAACTCCTGAGGCAAAGAATGTCGGAAGAGCTGGTGTTAGAGCTGGGAAGGCAGGGAAGGGTTGAGGACAATGGCTTCTTCATGTGCACCATCGTTTTCAGCTGTCTGAGCTAAACGGAGTGCAGAAGAAGCTGAGAGCCAGTACCACGGGGTGAGACTGTCAACCAGCCCTGGCAGAGGTCCCCTGTGCCATCAGTTGGGTAAAGGCAGCATCAGTTAATTCTCCATTAGAAGATCTTGGGGCAGATCATACCCATAAAAGTCTTCATTCAAAAAGAAATGCAAAAGGTCTGGCTAATCTTCCTTCCAAAGACAGTCCCCATATCTCCTTAAGAGCTAGGGTTAGGATTAGCAGGATAGTGATTCCCTATCCATGCATGAATGTGTCTGAGACATTCCTAATTAGCCCTGTTATTGTATGGACTTGAAGGCAGAGATTGGCTGGTATGGCATGGGTAAGAGAAGCATACAAATTGAGAGAAAGGAAATCAGTTATCTCTCCTCACATCCATTCCTTGTTGATTCTCTGGGGAGTGGTGAGCCTGTTTCCCATGTGAGTAGCAGGTTCAAGTTCATTAAAAGGGCTTTCCATGGTGCCATCAAGATTTTGGACAACTGTCCAGATCTTGGTTTCAAATTACACTCCTAAATGGAACCAGGGGGCTTCCTGGAGAAATATCTGATTCTAGTGCTAGGAAGGAAAGGATAAGAATTGATGAAGATAGAATATCTAATTAGGTCAGAAAGTAAAGAAGTACTCAAAAAAAATGATGGGGACTTGTCAAAAGGAAAGAAAAGGCAGCTTGAGGAGATTCCCACTGGCCAAACTGAGGACAGTTTGAACATCAAAACACATAATAATGTCCATTATGGAATTCATGAATCCATACTTATAGTTTATAAATAAACAGACTTATGAATAAATAAACAGAGAAGCAGGGGAGACTCTTGCTTAGAATAGAATGTCAACTACTAAATGCAGAAAGAACAGTGGAGAAAGAAAATAATCATTTTGCAACTATCACCATTATCATTGAATCTGGTAAGCATCATCAATGGATGCTGTATTTGTTGGTTAAAAGTTCAACAGGGAGCAGAATATTTACACAGCCCCAAAGTGTCTTCTCAGATTATTAATTTCCAAGGGAATTTTACACCAGAGAAACCTAGAGGGCACCACTTTAACTAAGTGAACAAAGTTAACACAACCAGTCATGAGACAAACTGACATCATGTGCTTCTTGATGTAAAATACTAAGCAGGACATATCGAAAAAGGCATAACTCAGGTCTAATCACATGGAAACCTGAGTCAAATCCACACTGAAGAACATTTGACTCAATAAACATGTTAAGGTCAGGAAAGAGAAAAAGGTCAGGAAGGGGCCTGTAGGCCCTCATATCTCTGTGGCTCAGGCTCTGGCTGTGATCAGCTGCTCATGAAAAGGTATGAAAGCATTTGGAAAGGAGAAACATTTGCTTTTTGAGACAACTTTTTCTTAAGCGAATATCACTCAGCAGTTAATGTGTAAAGGAGGAGTGGGTTGCTGGCATGTACAGTAGCCAGCCAGTGTGGTCACCACTGCTGTAGTCACACACATTGTCTGGAAAGCAGCCAGCCCTCGACAGGACTCAATAGGACTACCACACAGGACACGTTAGGAGCAATGAGCCATGAAAAGATGGGGAACGGATTCAGCCTGTAAAGTACTCTTGAGTCAGACGATGGGTTCAAATTCCAGCTGTGTGTGCTGAGCAGGCTCCTCAGCTCCCCAAGCCTGAATTTTCTCATCCGGAAAGTAAGAATGACAAGGAAGTGCAGACTGAATGAGATTACTATTTAGAAAGGTGTCTGGCATCTAGTATGTGCTCAATAAATATTACTCTTTACTACTGTATTATAGTATTGTGTACTATGTAATACAATTACTACTATTATTCAACTTTGCATTCTCATTCCCATGCCTGGAAGGCATATGATGTGCCCTCAATAAATGTGTCTTGGTGCATTAACAAAGAGAGAGAAATGCAGGAAACAAGACAGACACTGAAATGTGTAATATGTGAATCATTGTTAAAGATGCAGCTCAGGTCCAGCTATTGTCAAAAACAAGGAGGCGTTATCAGCAGATAAGGAAGCAGGGTCTTAATGCTGTTCTGTCGTGAAAGATGATGTTTCTGTTAACTTGAAGGATGGTTGGGCTGAAGACCAGCTTGAGATTGTTATTCCATATAAGCACTGAGGAAGGTCTGAGGGTCACCAGTTTAGAAAAGCAAGACATACTCAATTCACAATTCCATGTGAAAACCAAGGAAATCATGTTTTACTGGTAGGGGGTAATGAGAAAATAAACAAGGAAACCCAAGTTTAAGCAAACACATAAATGCAGATGACAAAAGGTGTCTAAACATGGTTCGTGGTCATTGATCTCTAATATTTTCCTTTCACATTTGGTCCTAGATTCTAGTCTTAGTTCTAATATAGACAAAGAGTAGGAAAGACTGAGAGAAACTAAAGTCAGTGTTTCGAGAAGGAAGCACAGAGAATGAAGGACAGTGGTTGGCCTCATACTGGAGCACTGGAAGTGAGTGGAATTTGGTGAGAGAAATCTGTGAAGGTTTTCAAAAAGAGATGAAGAAAGCGGAAAAGAGATGTTTCCATCCCTCCTACCTTGTCACACCACCAGCTGGGCTTCTTGCCTTCACTCACACCTTTACTCAGTCTCCCTCCTTTCTTTCTCTCATTTCTAGCCTACCAGTTAGGCTGAAGACCGTCCCACCTGAGACTTCAGCGCTGCTCTCCTTAGTGCCTTTGACTTCCTCAATGGCTACTATCCCAATCAGCCACACCAGTCCTCAGTCCTGGATCATACGCTACCCTTGTCTTCCATCTTCCCTAATAATGGCCCCTGGCCCTCAGAATACAGCCAAAACATGAAGCGGAATGGTGCTAAGTTGGGTTCATTTCACTTTCATGCAATTCATCTCAACCATGGGACTGTAAACTCTCTGAACTGTATCATATCCTGAGTCCTGTATACTGAGCATCTAGCATAGTGCCTAGAACACAGCGGGCTCAATCTGTTCTTTTTGTGTCTTTTTAGACCTGCCTTTTACTTCTGTTTGGGAATGCTTTGCTCACCTGTTATGGATCCCTTCCCAGTACTCCTCAGTAATCTACTCTTTCCCTCACTCTCTCTTCTCTTTTTTACCTCCTTCCTCCCTCTATTCCTCTCTTCTTTCTATCTAAAGTGCACTCATAGAAAAAGCTCATGCTCTCCATTTCATATGGAGATGAAACCTGATGTATCTCCTTTCCTCTTTGTGCTACATTTATTCCATATACTAATTCTTGTTAGTTTTTCCCCCTTTAAAATGTCTTGGATTCTCACCTTTCTTCACTGTGTTCACAGTCATCATAACTGAAATTACTCCCCATACTGTCTTCCTGGCTCAGATTAGTCTCCTCTCCTTCTACTTCATCCTTTAATGTGCCACCAAAATAACTTCTTTTATAGAAGGCTTTTATTATTTCAGTCTCTTATTCGAGAACCTATAGATGATTTTCTATTTAACTCAACATGTTTAAGCTCTACTAATAGGCTTACAAGTGGCTCCACAAACCAATTCTTGCAAACAGAACTGTTTATGAAAAAGAAGGAAAATGGAATAATGCAAACTGGAAGAAGCAAAATTAACCTAGAACTATTGTTGCTTTGTTGTTTCAAGACAGGAAATGTGTATATGTTGAAGGCAGAGGGAACTGCCAATGCAATGTTAAAGCAAGATGCTGAAAAAAATAAAAGTGGTCATTAATGAAGGGATACATCTTTGTCTAAAACAATGTAGAAGAAAGGGAGGGAGTTTAGTTTTGAAATTTCTGTATTCCCAGTGAAGTAGGACACAAGGCCATCTGTCAATAATGAGCTGAGAAGAGATGAGGGCTGAGGGAGTTGGAATATTTGCTCATTCACTCTTTCATTCATTCCACAGACATATTGGCCACCTACTGTTTCATGTGAATGAACACTCCTAGGTATTTCCCACTTTTCTCACATGGCTTCAGCATCTGCTTATATAAGCCCAACCATAGAACACAGACATATCCCCCTTCAGTTCTGATCTTGTGTGGCTCATTGTTCTAGTCTGCTGGGATCTTGTTGAATCCCAACTCTGTCATCTGATGGTATCCCTTCCAACTTCATGTCGTCCTCTGGGAATCTGATAAGTACATGTTCTATATTTTTATTACAAACATTGATAAAAATGTGGAGAGGGGTAGTGCTCAGACACACAGAATACCCTGAGAAATTTCCCTCCCTATCTACATGGACTGTTTAACAAGTCCTCTTTGGTGATATTCTATTGCCTAGGCTGTATCTCGCCACTTCTTCCAATAGGGGAACATAACGATCTTGTCAAATACTTTGCAACAGTCCAAATGCACCATGCCCACTTCATTTCCCTCATCAAGCTGGCAAATAAATGAATAATGCTGGCAAACGGAAGAAAATAATTAGATTGGCAAGACTTGCTTTTAGCACATCAATGCCAAATGGTCGTGATTTCTCTTTCCAAGTGCTTATAAACAGCTCCCTTAAACTGACAGCTATACGCACTTACCTGGGACTGACAGCAATCTCACTGCTAAACATCTTGGATTTTTTTTCTCTTTCCATGAAGCAGAATTACATATGTCTGTTTCTAAGCTCTGGCCTCCTTTTCCCCTTGATTCTGCAGAGATTACCTCCCTTAGTTTAGAGATCAAGTTTGCAAGGTTTCTGATCACTTAAAAAAAATCATATCCTTTGATAAAACCCTATAAGAGGTGCAGGAAACACTGGGAAATTTAGGATGTGTATGACACAGGCTGTGAAGTACACCAGAGTAGAAGCCTCTGGAGACTACGGCCAGTGTTAGGTTGCAGTCTGTTTGGATGGATTTGGTATACTGCTGCCTGAGTGTATTGGTATACTGACACATGAGTGTGGTCTTGAATAGTAATGACTTGAAGCTTTCACAACCAGAGATTTCTGAAAAATGAGCTTCTAAATAATTTGTCTTCTCTCCTTCTGCCCATATTGCTCATCCCTGCCATCAGCACCTTCAGAGTACCAAAGTGCAAAATGTACTGACAATTGAGATAGGGCTTACCCACTTGCCCAAGCCTGGATAGTCATGTTCCGGATCAAACAGATGCTGGTGCAACTGGAACTCTCGACTGAACTCGGCGGTGTCGGGGGTGTTTTCTAGACATCCATCATCTACTGCAAACAGCCAAAGATTTTTTGAGGAACAGCCAATACATTTATTATTATTCTCAGAGTTAATTTATCAAAAACAACTAGACATCCAAAGGTCAGAATCTGTTCACATCAGTAGTAACTTGGAACACTACAAGCCACCTTCCCTCTAGGATCCAGTTAGATAGGACTGCTCATCTCAAACCCCACTCCTGTACAGAGGCTCACTGGCTGTTCACCAAACCCACTTCCCTTTCCTCCTTAGCACACAGCTAGAGTAATTTCCCAGCCTTGCTTTGCAATCACATGGAGTCATTTGCCTCAGTTGAGGCCAATAGAATGTAAGCACAAGTGATGTATTCCATTCCCAGGCCTGGAAGTGAAATACATCATTTAAAAGCATAAAAACCTCTCATACCATGTTCTACTTCTCCTCATTCCTCATCCCCATCTGCTGGTCAACTTGTTACATGCCGCCAGGACAACTGTGGGTGTCAGGTGTAAAGACGGCAGTCTGCGGTGCTGAACCGTCCACCCAACACAGCCTCACCCACCTCTGGCAGGACTTCTCATGGGTGAAAAATAAACTTCTATTGCGCTGAGCCATAAAATTTTTTTTATCTGTTACAACAGCAAGTGTTTCCATAAGTAACATACTTCTATTGCACATGACCCGCTTTGTTTTCTCTTGAGCAAGCACTTTAGAAACTACTTTGGCTTCTTGGAGAAAGTACATTACACAACAACATCAATCTCCACACAGTACTTGATGTTGTGTTTTACTGTGATAATGGCTTAAGCTTTGGGGTCAGATAAGAGCAGAGCTCAAGGATCAAATCCCAGCTCCTAAGATATAGATAGGTTTAATTCCTTTGGAAAGTTAACTTGGTCTCTCCAAGTTCACGTATGTATTTGTGAGATGCAAATAATTAAATATTTAGCTACAGGATTGCCCTGAGGAAGAGAGATGATTACATTTACAGCACCCAGCACGTAATAGGTTTGCAATATGTTTTAGTTCCCTTCCCATCATCTCCCTTTAACTGATGGTTTATACTATGACTGCCCTTTGAAATCAAGCATGTCTTCCATTCAAGCCAAAGAAAGACGGCTATCCCTCTTGGATGCTGTTTTTATCTAAATTCTATCATTACTAGGCATGATGTTCTAAAAGTGAGTCATTTTCCCCATGTCTAATGTATTTTAGACAACAGCGATAAGAAGGGGGACAGAGGAGGGATTGTGAATTTTGTGCAGTGTTAGCGGGAAGAGGGAGGGTCTCATTTAAAAGACATAGTGAGACATCAAAATCAATGCTGAAAGGGGGACTATTTACAATTAGCCAGGCTGTGTAGCTCTTGACGCTGCTCTGAAGCCTCCCAGCAGCTTTCCGCATGCAGTCTCTCAGCTCTGAGTAGCATGCAGCTAACGTGGAAGTCATCAGCATTCTGTAGAATCCCTAATGTGGTTCTCCACTCTTCAGTGAGTTATTTATCTAACTTTTACAATATATAGCAATTAACAGGTAGGAAAATATACCAATTCAAGAGAGTTCAGGCAATCTGCATATGGTGCCTTTATAACCTTTCATAATTGTGTCTGCTGTACCTCCGAGGGGGCCCTGACTGAGGTACAGAGAAAGCCTGCCCTGGGAACTGAAGGTGACTCTGAGGCTGAAAATGTGCCCTAGCATTCACATCCTGTCTCTGAAGAGCAGATGGACTCTGAGCTCTGCTGCTGGATCCAGGGTGAGTGGGCCACAATTCAGAGGAGAGCACGGCACGAAAGGAGAAGTCAAGGTTTTATTCTTGGATCGTTCAACTGTGCTGTGCGGTGTCGTGATTCAAGCAATTCCTCACAAATAACGGCTAAATTTAGCAAGTGATTTCATTCTGGAATGCAGATTGTGGTAGAACAAAGAATGAGGAAAATGTTAGTTTAATGGAAGGAGGGCAAAGGAAATGGCAGACAATCTGTGACAAGAAAGTGTCTGGATTCGGGATTTTGTCCCGTTCTACCGTGCCGGCTTGACTGCTGTCTCTCAGAGCTTGATTCCATAGGTCTGTATGATTTTATATTTTTATTATTGTTGTTTTCAGATAACATAGAACTACACTGTGTGCTCTTTAAAGGCATTGCTATGTCTTCCTTCCAGAGATGACGAGATTAAGGCTCAGGAAAGTGAAAGTGGCATCCTTCAGTCAACAGCAGAGCTCCGATCTCCATTCTCCTCTAACATTCTCCAACTTCAGTGTGCACTACAACCATGACAAGGATTAGTTACAACAGATTTCTGGGTCCCACCCCAGAATTTCTGATTCAATAGGTTAAATCAGAGAGGAGGGCCTAAGAAGTTGCATTTTTAGCAAGTTTCCAGGTGCTGCTGCTGCTGGTGGTAGTGCTGGAATCACACTTTAAGAACGACTGCATGTAACACATTCAATGGATTTAACAATGGAGACTGTTACTCCCTAAACTCTGATGTGGTCTTTCTTCCTACCCAACCAAAACCCTACAAGCAGGTAAAAGGTGGCTGACATGATTAGAGCCAGGCAGTGATTCAGGTTTTCCTGCCTTCCTGGCCCAGCAGCCACACATTGGCTTGGTCACATCCAACTATGTTGGTTATTTCACCTCAAGATGGAAGCTTTGTGCCCCATGGAAAACAGAGGCCTCACCCTAAATGAAAGGAGGGGCATCTTTTTAAAGACAGTCTCTTTCAGAGAGAGGCTGCATTGTGTTTAAGAAAAGCTGAGGTCAGACCAGTTCTGGGTATCATAAGAAAAAAATGTCTGGGCGTGGTAGCTCACACCCATAATCCCAGCACTTTGGAAGGCCAGGGTAGGAGGATCATTTGAGCTCTAGAGTTTGAGCCCAGCCTGGGCAATATAACGAGACCCCATCTCTACAAAAAATTTAAAAATTAGCTGGGCATGGTGGTGCACACCTGTTATCCCAGCTACTTTGGAGGCTGAGAGAGAAAATTACTACAGCTGTGCCACTGCACTCCCACCTGGGCAGCAGAGTGAGACCCTATTCCAACCAAAAAAAGAAAAAAAGCTCAGTAGTCAATATTATCACAATTTTCAGAGAAAGGCAATATGTCCCGGTGGTTGAGTACACAGCCCTTAATCAGGTAGACTTGGGTTTGAGTCTTGGTTCAGCTACTTGTTATCTGGATAACCTTGTGCAAGTTACACTCTAAGCTTCTGTGTTCTTAATGTAAAGTAGAAATAATATTATATTGGTACAAAACTAATTGCGGTTTTTCCCATTGAAAGCAATGGCAAAAACTGCAGTTATTTTTGCACTAACCTAATAAATACCAACTGTTATTATTAGGCTTGCAGAAAGACTACTCTGGTGCTAGAAGCTAACCCAAGCCCAAGGTAAGAGGTGCATTATTTACTAGAGGCAGCAAAGCTAATTATAATCAGGATGACACTTAAAGAGTCCTTACTCTATGCTAGGTGCTGTGCTAGAATGCTTTACATGGATAATTGTATTTACTTCCCACAATGTCCTCCATTTTGCAAATACAGTAAGGAAATTGAGGTAGAAAGTGGTTAATTAACTTGTTTAAGGCCACACAGGTTGACCTGGAGTTTGAACTCAGGTAGTTAGAGTCTAGAGCCGCTATGCCGAACCACCAAAGCCAGCTGCTCAAAGACCAATGTGAGGGAAGCCCATGCTCTAGAGCTTGATTCCACAGGTCTGTATAAGTTTATGTTTTTACTGTTTTTGTTTTCAGATAAGCTAGAACTACACTGTGTGCTCTTTTAAGGCACTGACTATGTCCCCCTTCCATTGATGAAGAGATTAAGGCTCAGGAAAGTGAAAGTGGCATGCTGCAGTCAATGTGCTCTTTGGCATTAGCGGGTAGGATAGTGGGCAGAAAGTGAACAACATGGAAAATTTCAACCTTCTTCCTTAACCAACTTCTTCCTGAGCCCCTTCTCTCTCATGCCACCTCCTGACCCCCAAATAAACAGGATTTTAGGAAAGATGCTAACTTGGTGTTGATGCGTGACACTGTTAGAACATTGACTGTCACAAGGAGTGAGGAAAACAAACAGGCACGGATAATCCACAAACTCACCGGCTCCAAAGACATTAAAAATCAGCAGAAGCTTTCTCATGGAAAAGGAGAAAAATATGTTCCCCTTTTCATTAAAAGAGGAGCAAGTGCTAAAAAGTGCATCAATTCCAAAACAAGGGGAGACACAGATAGTAGGTAAAGCCTAGGCACTGGAAATCCTGTGTGGGTGTCTCTGAACACCAGAACTCACACAAAAATTCTAGAATAAGTTTCCCCTTCCCATCTGCTTACAAATACGCATGGGCCCATCAGAATGGAAATACAGTTGCTGGTAATATTTGTAGCTGATGTTAGAATTTCTAATTTCCTTCCAAAGCCCTACTTTCCATGAGAACCCAAGGGCATGTCTGTTACCTGTTTTTCCAACAGGACAGGGATTTGGAGGGTCTGGGTACCCCTGATCCTCACTAAAGTCCTGAGGAATGTTGTCTCCAGTCAACTCTGCCACGATGTTGGGGATGTTGCCGAAAGGACCCAGATGCTGAAGCCCTTCATGAGCTCCACCTGTGAGGGAATCAGAAGTAGTTCACTGCAGTGCAATTAAATTAATTTCAACTAATATTTATTCAGGTATATCACACAGGAAAAGCCCTGTGCCTTCTGCTGTGGGGAGAGAAAAATAAATCAAACGGTTCTTGCCCTCTAGGGATTTTGACATTTAGTTGCAGAAACAGACATGCACTGTACATATATTATTTCCATGCAAGGCAAATTGTATGTCATCCTGTAAAAGAAAGGTTAATACAGCATTACGAGAACATGGGAAAGGGGCTGGGAGTGGTGGCTCATGCCTGTAATTGCAGCACTTTGGGAGGCTGAGGCAGGCAGATCACCTGACATCAGGAGTGCAAGAGCAGTCTAGCCAAGATAACAAAACCCCGTCTCTACTAAAAAAAAAAGTATATAT